TGCATGCCTTGGGGCAAAGAGGAACATTGTTCCATTCTCATAAAAGATCAATCGTAACGACACAGGTGTAGATTGACTACAAGTGCTACCAATTGCAGCGGGGCTGCCGTAGCTTTGCGCTTTGAGGAACGTAAGTTAGGTCACGGACCTCTCGTTTTTTACTCAGAACAAGTACGAGTTTAGCGGATCACAATCCGCTTACTCCAACAGTAATTATAGCACGTCTTTTTTTCGGCTCTGATCGATATAGATCATGTATCGTTGCGCACGGTGAAGTTGTCATACTCTCACAAAAATGGGCAAAATGTTAATCCCTCTTTGCGGTAATTCTTTGCAGGAAAGTACAAAACAAAGTCGACTGAGAATGATGGCGTATGTGCTTTCACGTCTCCCCTGACTATAACTTGTCACGCAACACAATGGTGGCGTTGTCAGTTGGTATGGCGATATACTCAGCATATGTTTAGCAGCAACATGGGTTGCAATGCTGAAAGCAACAAGTTTGTGAAACAGATTCTGCTTCAAAGTGCGCACGACTGCGGACGGTAGTTCGTCTCAGATGATGTGCAAGTGGTGAAATATACACACTAAACATAATTCAATACAGTCACCATCGACCAGTACTCTAAAGGAAAGTTTTTATCCTGCGGTTTGCCAAACATTGGGTGTAAAGTAGATTCGTCGGTTAAACAGCAAGTCTTAGCGTACAAAACATTCGCGTAAACGAGAGGTAATTAAGAGTCTTGCGAATACCCGGGTTGCTCCATATACCAGTAAATAGGACTTTTTCGAGAAGCCCTTAAATAGTGACTGCTCCACATGTAAGACGCGTCGAACGTTTGTGCCTACTTAGTGACATCGTTGGATTGTCACAAGGACAGACTATGTATATAATAGGCTTTGTCCGTCTTCTCTGGACAATAGTCATCGGTGTATACCGAGCCGTGCCTTGAAGACCACAACATAAAGTGGCTCTGAATCTTTTCCGCAGATTATCGCGCGAAACCGCGGTAATCTTATCTTATAACCATATGTTGGATCTGGCGAGACGCTTACAACCCTTTGAATCCATTTACACACTGAAAACGACGACAACCCGTCAAATCTTCCAGTTTTGCCTGTCTTTGAAGCTCTGATCGAGACGCCTAGCAGTACCAGAGCGGTTCACATCTACTTCTGACTTTTAGCCTTTTCCTATACACTTCACAGACTGAGTTGAACGATCGCAAGCCATGCCGCGAAGCCGCTGCACTTTTATGGCCGCGCCGAAAACTGCTTTGTTTCCGAGCAGAAGGGTCACGGGCCTACCAAACCTCCATAAGAAGAGAATTGTATGACACCCAATGACTTCGACTTATAGTCTTTTGATAGTGCACATGTTTCAGGAACACCACACAATTGATGAGATCGCATATCGGATCCATGTTTAGGACCAGACAGCGTTTACTATCCAAAGTCCTTGAAAAATATATTTTTCACCGTCACAATACGCTCGGTTACTGTATTGAATTCTGCGTCTTCAATTTTACGCGAACGGTCTACTGTTTTCGAGTGTCCCAACACGACAATATTCAAATTGACAAATAACGCGTCACAAAGCTTGAGACGTTAATGATAATAGCCGACCAACCTAGTCTTTGAACGCCTCCTTCTCTCGAGTAAGTCGCAAGATTTAGGCCGGATTTTATTGATCACATCCACCACAAAATACAAGAACGTTATTTTTTTTGATAGACCATCTTGCGCCTATAGTAGCTAGTTTATGTTCGGGAAGAGCTTGTGATTGACCGTGTGGTCCTTTGTATCTGTCAAATGAGAGACGGATTTCAAACGTTTTGTGTAAAATATAGTATCTGAAAATAACACGGCTGCTATAAAATTGTGCTCGTCCTTCTCAGTTCGGCTGAAGCCCATCGCCTCTGGCATGCTTTAAGATGCTCCAACGTTCGTACTTTAAACTGCCCTCGTAGCATTGTAGCAAAAAAGCAAGGCTTCTCATGCCCATTGCATTTCCGCTAGATGAAAAGATGACGTAGACGGTCACTAGGCATACTTTAAAGGAGGCTATCCATGGAACTAATAATCACTACTTGTTATCTGAAGTCGGCATGCCGCCATTGCAACTATAAGAGCTTATTACTGTTAGACAGATATTGCAAACGGGTAGATAAGCTCGTGATCGCGGACTCTTCGCCTGTTCAGGCGGCGTACACGCCTACGACATCTTTTCTTCTACGTATCATGTTAATAACATCGTTGCTTTGGACCCCCTGAGGGTAAGTGCCGATTCTCAGACGCAGCTTCTTAATTTGATGGCCTCTAGTATGACGCACAGTTGCTCTGTCTGATGGATGGTTGATATTTGGTTTTTTTAATCTCTCTTGTTGAGAAGAGGACTATGTCAATAAACTGGATGCCATTTTTTTCATAGGCTCCTGTTTTGATCGCTTTTGGATCTGTCGTACCAGCATGTCCCCGTCGCTGATACATACCTTTAGAAAGCGAGTACCGCTACGGCGCTTGATTTGTCACTTGCGTAGTATGCCCGCGGGGGAACAAACGTCAAGCTTTTGAAGCGCGTTGTGTTGTAAGACAAAAAAATTGATTTACCACCCAATATAGAAGATCTGTCCGAAAAATTGACGCCGAGTGCTATCAGATCCACCAGAGTTGCGGTGAACCCCGCACATAAAAAGCTTGGTCAGCGCAAATCAACCAGCACACAGAGGATGGGGTCCGCTCCGACGTAAAACGAACCCGAAAACATCTGAGGTAAACGGTACTTCTTTTGTATGAATTATGTATATTGATACGCTAAGTATCTACAAAGGACAATTTCATTCGGAATGGAGCAAGTAAGGCCGGCGATCAACGTCTCCCACGCATCTCTCCCATACAATACGTCATCCACTCAGCACTAGCCATAATTCTTTGTCACAGTACTCTACAATGATATTTCTGGCTTTTTGGAAGTTAAAGGGACAACAATGACAATAGTGAAATGTGTGTACATTATAATACGTTACATTTTTAACTAATGTCCTACCGCAGATTCTGGTAGTTGTGTTGACTATCACTCACACTGTCGTCAACGTACCCTGCTATGGTATACCTAAACATTTAGGGTGTACTAAATTCGATACCTAGAAGTACCGCAGTGTTAAAATTACACCGCTGAATGCATA